CTGTTTTCAATGTTCACGAGCAACCATACAGCCGTACGAGGCCGGATTATGTAAACAACACACTCTTTTAAACTGTATTAAGTCTTGAAGTTACGCATTATTACCTCCTGAGTCGTTTTTGATCAGCGGGGAGTCCCAGCCACCGCAGCAAGCGTTAGGACTGCACCGAGGGTTCATCCATCTTCATAAACAGTCAACCATTTTAACCTTTGTAATTAATGTTGTGCTTAATTTCCAAGCGACAGTATATTTGGGGTTTAACGGCTCTAATATTAGCGACAACAAAATCAAATTGGTGCCAAGTGCTGATGGAGCAGAAAAAATAATTACTGTTTGTCACTTTCAACACTAAGTACTGCAATTATGGTGGTAAATAAAAGAAGAATAAATCACACAACCTAATTTATTTCACGGTGCGCTCATAAATAACCATTAAAAAAGGTAATAGATCCTTTTTAGACTTGATGCTACATTACGTGGTAGATGCTTCAATTAAGATGTTTCAGTAATTTACCAAAGAGCCGATTCAGACGTGTTGTTGTGCGTTTACAGATGCTGTAAAAGCCACTTGGATTACATGTGCCTGTCATACTCCATATAAAGATGGAGTCTAGACAGTCGTCTTCACCTGCGTGGGCCCTCGGTTAGTCCACCAGTGACCCTCAGAGGCGGCAAAGCTCTCAGGCGGCTCAGCGTGTGACAGGCCTTGATGAGTGAGCAATAGCAGAGATTTGTGCGAGTTTCTGTGCAGTCCGGCTTTGTGTTGCGCCTCCGATGGCTGAAATGCTGAGCTTGTTTTCTCACCTGCTGTTTCCGTGTCAAGCGTATTTCTCTTTCCGTGGGGGGATTATAGCTCAGACGGCTTCAGTTCGGGCTGGAGCTGGATTTACGGCCGTCGTTGTGCCGCGCGAGTGGAGGGAAAAGGGCTTCGAGAAAATATGTCGGCTCCTTCAAAAGGCTTCTGTTTTACTTAATTTGCATGAGATAAATAAGCAGAAGGCTGAAATGGGCGCAGAGAGCTTTTCTGTTTTCTCTAAACGCTCCTGGTGTCGACTTGTTTTTAAATGTTTCCAGAGCGTTGTCGGTAGCGTTACACTTGGCTTCATCAGAAAAACCCTTCCAATGGAACAGAGGAGCATTCTTTTTACTTTGCAGTGTATTTATTATTTCCACTGTATGGATTCATGTAAACGTCTTGATTAATAATTTAATAGCTACAAAGCGGGCTGTTTGTTGGTGCATCTCCAAATAAAAATGATAACGAACCACCTCACAACAAAACTCTGCACTTATTAATGACTTCCAGTTGATTTTTAAAGATTTAATGAAGCATTGATTGCGTTAAATGAAGCCTCTCACACAGACAGTGACAGCAGACGACAGGTGTCATGTCTAATAACGTCCTCATATCATATCATGGCAGTGCGTCGGTGGTGGGTGTGATTTATTAGTTTTTTTCTTCATGCATTTTCCAGAATCAACTCGTTCCTCTTTTGTAAACGAGGCTGCTTGTGTTTCCACAGGAAAGCCGTGAAAGCGACGCTCGTCCTGCTGCCTCTGCTGGGCATCACCTACATGCTCTTCTTCGTGAATCCGGGGGAAGACGACATCTCGCAAATTGTCTTCATCTATTTCAACTCCTTTCTACAGTCTTTTCAGGTGAGCAGCAGCTGACGCTCGCACGCCCACACACGCCGTCCGCCATCTGAACCACGTCAATCACGCTGATTGCTTAATGCGTTGAACAGGATCGCAGCGCCGCGTTGAGAAAGACTTCTCAGGTTGTGAGCCTTCCTGTGGGAAGATGATCTGAAGTAGCACCCTGACTGAGCTTTACACATAATATCCCCTCCTGTCTCATGTTCAGCTGTCAAGATTACCGGGGCCATGTGGGCATGATTTCTCCTCTGTGGCTATTTTTCTAATCTCTCCATCTTCTGGGCTTAAATGTGAGGCTGAGTGGGAGGAAAACGGGATTTCAAAACACGGCTCCTTTGCTGTCAAGAATTCTTTTGGGCCTGGCTGGATTCGCTCCTTAATTTGTTTTGCCTTTTCTTCTCGTGCACCATGTGATTTATTTGCTGTCTAATTAAGATGCCATTTCACAACGCAACCACATTTTCTGCCTCTAATCGTAATGTGTTTCCCTCTGCAGGGGTTCTTTGTGTCGGTGTTTTACTGCTTCCTAAACGGAGAGGTGAGTCTGTGGAGTCTGGCAAAGGCTGTCAGTATTTATGATTTTAATTAAGTTGTCAGTCTGTTTCTTGGTATATGTTCCTAATAAAACCCCCAAACTGATTCCCTTAATTGGTTTAATAGTGTCTTTCAAACTTTTCTCCCATGTACAACTTTGACTAAGTTCAACCAGGGCCGGGATCAATTAGCTTCAATTAAACAAAATGCAAAAAGATTTTCTGTTCACTCAGTGAACTTGCAGCATTTTGATGATGGTGCTTAAATGTGATAGAAAACTTTCACAGAGCTCAGACATTTTTATCCAATTAAAATGAAAGCAAATTGGTGGATTTCCAGCTGCTTGAAATCATTAAAGTCATCATGAGAATTACAGGTTTGTCAGTAATTGTGAAAAATGAAGGACCCCCTTGTGAACCCTCAAATAATTGAAACCGGCGGGAGGAGAGGTGGTTAGTTTATCGAGGAATGGCGAAGAATTTGTATAAATATTTAATTTAATTTGAGACCGCCGCTGGCAAAAATAGTCGTGTGGCATTCAGGAATGTGTTTTGAGTTTTGCTCTCTGCAGACAAACTTCTCTTGTTGCACTNATAATCGTGGCCTGGGCCATTGGGAAGCTGTATTATGAAAACGAGCAGTAAGTCCTCCTGTAGCTGTTAAATCCTTTTAATGGTTTCTTCACTGTTTTGTCGATTCAATGGCACTCACCTTCTTTTCTTTTTTTTATCCACAGATGCTGGTTTGGTAAAGAGCCTGGGAAATACATGGACTACATTTACCAGGGTCCAGTTATTCTCGTGCTTCTGGTGAGCAACAACACAGAAAGTCATTAGGCTACGTCCACTTTCCATTATTTGCTGAGTATTTGTTAGACTCCAGCACACATGTACAATTAATCACTAGTGTGTACTTCTACTAATGGAGACATCAGCCCCTGACATAAAAATGGTCTTTTATACAATGAAAGCCATTTCCATGCAGCATCCAGCTTTTGGAAAGGTGGAATTAATCTTCCAGACCTACGACTCCTGAAAATACAAAATTGTATTCATAGAAATGTGCGGGCTAATGACGGTGTTCCGGTCCTCACCGGCGTTCTGCTCTCAGCTCTTCTGACTTGTGTTTCCTCTGACGGTGCTGAGAGAGGTGACACCAGCTTTCCTCCTCGTCTCCAGCTCGGTCTGTTGGCGGCAGATAATCGCTCTCCGTGACATCCAGTGTTCGTCATTACCACGGGGTTCAGAACTAATTCCTTTTTGTGTGTGTCTTGCTTTTCTAGATAAACTTTGTTTTCCTCTTCAACATAGTCAGAATCCTCATGACCAAGCTACGAGCTTCCACCAC